TTTCCCTTTTTCTGTCTCACTCCAAGTGAATCTGCCCTATAGCAAAAATAAAAAATTAATAATAATAATAAAATTGAAAAAATAAAAATTGAGGGACCAGCAGATGGCATGATGATTACATCTCTGGATTCCCACATTGTTGACCACAACTTAAAAAGCGGCTTAAAACTCACACTGGGTGCTTGTGCATGCTTGCCCAAAATCCCCTAGGGGAGACTGGAGGAGAAGGGATTGCAGGGTCATCCCCCTCATCGAGGGATGATTTGTCCCTTTGTCTCTCCGTCTCTCCGTCTGTCTCTTTGTCTCCAACAAGCACACACTCTATAGCAAAAATCTCTCTTAAAAAAAAAAAAAAGTTGGAAATAGCTGACTATGTGTTTTTTTCTTTCATGGAATTAAAACTGACTTTGAGTATACATTTAATCTGGTTTTTAGTTTTATTTTAGTACTTCAGATATTCTTTTTTGTATTTGTATTTCTTCTCTTTTGTATAATATAGATTATTTTTCTTGAGTCATTCTCTTACGTTATATATCAATACCTGCTTTTTTTTTTTTTTGCTATAGGGTACATCCATTTGTGCAAGAGAGAGAGAGAATGAAACTGTCAGAAAGAGACACAGAGAGGGAAAATGAGAAATCATCCCCTCAGGGGGAATGATTCTCTCAGGATTTTGGGCACACACAGACACACGCTCCTGGCATGATTTTTGAGCTGCTAGCACCAGGACTTGAACTGTGGTCAGCCATGTGAGATCTAGGACCTTAAATGTCACGCCACCTGCTGGCCCACTACTTGCTTTTTTAAATCTGAAAGCATCTATCTCTAAAAAAAAACATAGAGGCCCCACACTTATTTTTTCCTTGAAGGATAACTTTAATGATGTAAGAGTTTTGCCATTTTGCTACCACTGGTGTATACTCCGTACATCCACCATCCCACTGGAATTATTTATTCCATTCATATTAATTTTTGTTACAAATTTAACTGATAGAGGAGCTTCTGGGTAGTTAGGCCCACATTCTACTTTAATGCGCTTTATCCTTTTTTCCACTCTCACACCCGTTCAGAAAAAACATTAATTCCCTTTAATATTAATGAATTTTTCAAATATCCAGCTACAATCAGTCAATATTTACATTTACATTTCTCCATTGGTCTTTTCTTTATTAAGAGCTTGAATTGGAGTCCAGGGCTCAAACATTGCCTTAAATCGATAAACATTTTCATCTCTCTTCTTTGATTTCCTTGAATTTTTTTTTTCCTTTTAGAGAAACCAGGTAGTGTATCCAAATTCCCAATTTGAATTTTGCTAATGTTGTTGTAGCATGTTACTCTGACCCTGTATTTTCAGTACATTGTGAGTTTTGTTCAGATGGCTGACCAAATTCTGGTTCAGTTTTACAAAGAGCAGTTTAGAAATGGTATTGTATACTGGACCAGCCCTGTAGCCTCATGGTTAAGGGAGTCAGATCCCACATAGTTCACCATGGTTCCAATCTCAGTAGCTTGAGAAATGCTCTGGGTACTTAAAATCCCAACTATTGATGTATCACACCATATCCCTTCTCCATTTCTTCCTCCTGTGAGGATTTTGGGCATGTGTATACATGCACTCAGTGTATTTTTCAACCCACCAGGGCCAAGGTTTGAACTGAGTGGTAGATCATATGGGATCTGGCTCCCTTAAACACTTTGCAACAGGGTTGGCTCAAGGTTTTCTCTTGATACAATACCTTTTGTGGGTGTTGATAAATGCATATATGATATATAACCATCATTGCAGTGTTAAATTGAATATTTTCATTGCTGTTAAAATTTGTTTGCCTCTTCACCCTTCCCATCTCTCATTCCTTGTTTTTTTTTTTAATTAATTAATGAGTGAAGCATCTTTAAATACATTGTTTTTTCTTCTGTGAATTACTTGCTCTCCAGAAGTGGAGAATTAGTCCATGACTACAGTTGTGTCTTTCTACAATGTCAG